GACGGACAGACGGACGGACAGACAGACATGGCTTAATCGATTTCTTTTTTCATCCTGATCATTTATGTATACATTTGTCTATATCTATCTCGATTCGTTTTGGCTGTTACAAACAACCGTTATGTGAACAAAATTAATATACCCTTGTGCATAAGTGCGCTCGGGTATAAAAATTCAGTGCAATGTAAAACGAATGTATGGGTACCACATATTTTTTTTTGGGTTCACAAGGACGAATAGGCATTGAAAATGCCCCTTTAATCTATTTTTTTTAAGCTAATAAAGTTAGTCCGTAACATATATTTTTTTTCAAAAATAAGTATTGAAAAATTTCAAGGATATTCAAGGAAAAAATTATGAAAAAATGTAATGTGTTTTAACTCTACAGAATCTTCTCCTTCATTTGATACCCATACTGGTTTTTTAAGTATATTACATTGCAATTTTTAAATTACTCATATCTTTCAAATTTCAAAGTTCTTTTAAAAAATCCTGACGTCAGAGAAAAAAATTAGGAACGCAATTTTACTATATTTGGCCCTTGGTTTGACGAATATATTGATTTTTTTTGTGTGCAAAATTTCTTGCCGCAAGATATTATCTGTATATTGAGATACACATTTATAAAAAAAAATTTTAAATATTAAATTAACAAAAGAAATATAGCCAAATCTGTTCAACATAAAGCATTTCTATTATTGCCACCAGTGTGATTTACAAATCCCGAAAATCCCGGGATTCTAGTCGTATCAATAGCACCCCCATTTCAAAGTGAGATTGTTTACCACTTTTGTTTATTTTTTTTTTAATCTGATTAAAAGGTCGACATTTTTGATGAAAAATCGTTGCTTTTTCCTTTGATTTGTATAAAGCTTGAAAATTGGGTTAATGTGATTTTTTCTTAAGCATGATAAATTTTTTTTTATAAAATAATAACAAATGAACTTTAGCTCTCAATATAATGTGAATACCTACTTAAAAAGGAAATGGTGTACGGGGACTTTTGCTGTTAAGTGTAGCTTAACTAAATTGTATGGTTATATTTTGCATTAAATTTTATACGTACGTATGTATACCTAGATGTATAAAAATGACATTAATGTTACCAATAACGACATTTTTGTAAATATTTTAGCGGTTATCCCATAAACTAGAGAATTACATATTAAATAAACGAAAACAGTTTGCTATTAGTTTTAGGGTCTCATAACAGCGCAGCTAGCACCACATGAGTTTCAACCGCCCAGCTCTGCATCCCTTTTGCAGTATTTCAGAGACAGTTCTGAAATTTGTAGGGCGGAACTAGCGCTTTGCCAGAATGTCTCTAAATTTTGCTGCAGGGTACGCACCCCAAGCATGCAGAGCGCCGCTCTGGGAGCGGTGACAACACACACATACATACATAGTAAAAATCGCGTGCTGTGGTGTTGATAGTTATTCAACATTTAAAAGCAAATTTATATGCCTGGGTGTAGCTGAGTGCGCAAAGATGCATGCCACAAGTTGGTGATATCCGGAGATGGTCGAGTTCGAATTCCACTGCAGGCAACATGCAAATAAATTTTTATTTTTTTTAGTTTTTGTCTTGATTATTCACTTCACGGATACTTTTTCAGTACGGACGCGGTCATTTTAATATGCGCGCAATGAATTGAATATTTACCAATATACAGTACTTTCGTTGACGTTTATAGTAAGATCAATTACTAGAGCTCTTGAAATTGTTCGAATAATTCGATTATTCGAATATTCGAACTTCGAATGGCAATTGTTTGTACGATTGGAAATCGAATGTTACTATTCGAATAGTTGATTCTCTTCGATTATTCGAATAGTCGCAAAGCTACGATTATTCGAATACCTTCTTAAAATCGAATATTCGATCGTTGTAATAAGTGTTATTTGTAAAAAAAAAATAAGAATTTATAAATTTTGTGTGTTTTTGTGAACATGAGTGCAAGAAAACTAAGTTGGGTGTGGAGTTTTTTTACGAAATGCAGTGATGGTAAGCAAGTTACCTGCTCCATTTGTGGAGCAGTCCTTAGTTTCCACCACTCCACTTCCTCGCTAAGCACTCACTTGAAACAAGTCCATAAGAAGGAACCGATTCGTGGTGGTGGCATGTAAGTACAAATAAAGAAAAATATAAGTTATAAGTAAAATATAGAGCACAAGCTTGTTACACATATGTAGAACACCGGACACGAATATCGATGCAACAAGTGGTGAATGCGTTGAAACGCAGGCGAGCACCTCGGGTGGCCGTAAGAGAAAAAAGCACGACACCGTTCATGACTGCACATTTGAACGTCAGGAATTGATATCTCGTGGAGTGACACGCCTAATCCCAAGTAACATGTTACATGTTTTGATAAAGCGACTGCAGTGCTATGTGGTGGCAAAAATGTGACATTGTCTTTAGTGCGACCTTTAATACACCGTCTTATTAAAAACCACATGGCCGCATCGTCGGAAGATGATGCAAATAAATATATATTCAAAGAAACTGCACCTAATTACCTTTTTGAAAGGTTCAATATGGGTTGTGTTTTAGAAAAAGTTTCAGCTCCAATAATTTCCTCATTTTTAGACCCCAGATATAAGAACCTTAACGATGAAGATTCGCAAACAAAACACAAGGTTTATGACTTTATCAGAAGCCAACTTCAAGTAAGCAATGTCAATAACTAAGAAACAGACAGCGTAGTACATACCGACTTGGATTTTTTGTTTGATGGTGAAATCCCAACAAATAATGTTATGTCACAAATCGACTCTTACTTGGCTGAACCTCAGTTCGGTCACAACATTCATCCCCTAACATGGTGGAAAAATTACCGTGCTATTTATCCGGAACTTTTCAAATTAACCGCAAGATATTTGTGCATACCAGCTACATCGGCAGAGTCCGTACGCACTTTTTCAATTGCTGGGAATATTGTCACGCCACGTAGAAGTTGTTTGTCACCGCAAAATGTTAGCCTTCTTACATTCCTGTATAATAATAAGCATTTCTTCACAGATATGTGTCCATTTTGATAACTTAATTATTCCTCTTAGAAGGTAAAATGCATTTTATGTGATTTTTTAACCTGTTCATTTATATTGTTGCTGAATAATTACAAAATTTTCTCAAAACAAACTTATGTTCCTACATTGCAATTTATTTAAATGTGTACATATTTATTCATACATGATACCTACACACATTTCAACATTCGAATAATCGAGCACCAGTTATTATTCGAATAATTGACTACGAGCAGGTTATTCGAATAATCGACAGTGAGCGATTATTCGAATACTGCTAATCGAATTTCACTATTCGAATAGCATCATATTCGAATAATTCGAATATTCGATTAATCGAATATCAAGAGCTCTATCAATTACGTTTCTATTTGATTTTAATATTTTTTTCCCTCAGTGTATATCTTCCTTTTCACTCATGTAACGTTTTCAGTTTTAAAAATTTCACTCTCCATTCCTGCGATACCGCCGCCTAAGAAGTTTCACTTCAAAAATTTTTTTTGAGTGAAATATTTGTATCCAGTTGAGATATTGTTTTTTAAGTCCTATGTACAGGCCCGTCTAGAGAGAGGGGGGAAAGAGGGGAATACCCCCGGGCCCGGGCTTCTTAAGGGGCCCGAAATATCAGAACCATAACTTATTATTATTATTTTTACAATGTAATTGCTCCTTCATTATAGGCTTTTATTATAAATATTATAAATATATTCCGATTCCTACTGATTGCGTTTGACTAGATAAATTGAAGAAAATGATCATATGGCCCAAAAAGCGTACTGTTACAATTTTAATTTAATTTAATTTAATTTTCGGATAGTTTTTCTTTTTGCATCTGAAAGCATAAGTATGTGGCAATATTTAATATACGTATGTTTACCTAAAATATATTTTACCTTCTGTTGTTTAGGAGTTATAAATGTTTCAACAGCGGACTGTTAAAATTAACATTGACATTAAAATTTTTGTAGTACTTTTTAAAGCTGCTTTATACTATCGAAAAGTCTGCTCTGCTTATATAACTCAAGAACTACGTATTTATTGAACTGATAAAATTAATTTCGAGGTCAATATTTGCAAAAAAATAGTCGGACTGCTACGTTACAGGAAAAGACTGTTACGTTACCTGTGCGATATACATACATACGTGTATATTAGAATTCGGTTTTTAAATGGCTTGTAGTCTGTTTTATGCAATAAGTAGCAGCAATTCAGTAGTCTTGCGATTTGACATGTAATCCAAAGAAATTAAGAACATGATAATTATGAATAAATATTTCAAAGTTTCTATTGCTGTGAAGCTGTAGATCATTTCAGAAGTAATTTTCTGCTTAGAACTCGAGCTCGAGCTCACAATTGCTCCAAGATATTGAGGTTTCTCGCGATTAAGTACACGAAAAACGGCTTTAATGGCCAATTTTGCTTGATCTATGCCATTTAGTAGTATTCTTACCCTTACAAATGCGCCTTCGAGTGGTGCTTTACGATTTTTCCTACAGAAATTATAGCTATTGAAAGATGACGTAATGAGTTAGAAAGCATACGCTTGGTTTGGCGATGTTAGATTCGAGGACATGGCAGTTTAACTGGTCGTAACTCTTGAAGGAAAAATCGTAAAGCACCATCCGAGAGTGCATTTTGAAGGATAATAATAGTAGTAGAAAAATACTTGAAATAATTCTAATAGATTTTTTCTATTTATTCAGAAAGTATTCTCATTCTTTAAGCTTCTTATTTTGCTTCTTTCGGCTTCGTTCCTTTTTGAAATAATATAAATATCGCATTTTTTTTATTTTTCTACGTAATTTTTATTTTCTGGAGTTAAAAAGATCATAAATTTTAACTATAGGTCAATAGCACGATGAATAGCTTACAATGTTCATTTCAAATGAGCCTTATCTCTAACTAAAACAAAATAAAAAATAATTTTACCCGAAAATTCAATTATTAAAACGACTTACGTTACAAATAGTTTTGCAGCGAAAACACATGGATAATGAAGAGTATAGGAAACTTTAGATATTTTGGGAATTACCTTAAAAAATTGTGCCGAATTTATTTTCCTTAAGCAAGTTAATAACTGATTATTTTTTTTCGAATAGTTTTTTATTAACTTCAGAGTATTACTTTGAAAGTAATACAAGGCAATCGAAGAGAAGCAAGTATAATGCAAAAAATGGTGGCGGTAGCCGTGCGAAGCGATTGAATTTGGCGAAGCCAACAGTTCATGTTGTGCTTTTTAAATTTTCATAAATTTAAAGGTGCCAAAGTGTTAAGTGAATTTTCAAATTTGGGAGAAGGAGATTCGTGTTAATATTTATATTGTCTGATACCTCAGAATATGTATGACCCAGATATTATCAAAAATCTGCGAAACCTGATAAAAAAAAAATTGTTCCTCTCGGTTTCGTTTTCGGTGATTTCGGCCATATGATTTTAATATTATACACTTTATAAATAGAAGCCCGTAATGTTTAAGTCCCGGGCCCGAGTTTTCTCTCGACGGCCCTGCCTATGCATGTTCCGATGCCAGCAGTTGACCAAGCCATATTAAGAAGAACTTCTTTGCAGAACTTTTTTCCACCAGGATTTTTCAGTGGAAAAATCAGTTTTGGTTCTGCCAATGATGTCACTACAACATACAACATACAAAAAAAATCGGTACTAGGTTTCCATCGGAATTATAAAATCTATTATATTTTAAACTCCCACCAAAATATTTCGGATAAATATTAGGATTTACGTGAGCTGGTCCGATTTGAAAATACCTCCAAAAGTGGAGTTTTTTATGAATAAAAATAGTTTCTTAAAGATTTGTTTGAAAGAAATCCCCTCAAATGACAAAACGGTTTAAGGTTAAAAAATTTGCATAAAAGTATTTGAAAAACATGTAAAAAAATGTTCAGCGGAATCGTAATAATGAGATTTTTGATGCTGTTTTTTTATCTTTTTTCAAAGATTGGTATAAGAAAAACTTAAATAACTGAACCTAAACTATTCCGATTTAGACTAGTGAAGTATCATTGGAAAGGTATTTTCTCACCCTTGACAAATATATGCTCGTTATGATTGTCTAGGTTATGATTGTCATTGTGCCATGATTTTGTTTCCATTTTTGTAAAATACCTTACGAAACTTCCAATTGCTACCTATAAATTTAATTTTCATTTTTTTGAGATTTGCATATTTGGTGTCGTCAAACTAAAAAAAAGCACCAAAAAACGCACCAAACTCAAAATTTTTCGCGTTTTGAATAAAGAAAAGCACTAGATTTAGTGCGAAAAGCACTAAATATGTAAGATAACAGAGATACCTTCACCTCTCAAATTGCCCCAACTACAATCCATATATGCATACATAATACTAGCATATGTACATATTCGTCTACATACATATGTACTTACATACATAAATGTTTAAGCACATGTGTAATGTCAAAAATTAAAAACTTGTGACCGTTGGAGGTCTTTGTTTAAGTAACGCCGCTCTTTTAGGAAATGCACGTATCGGATTTAAGTGTGGAAAGCAGGTTACTAGCAGTTATCGTCTTGAAAGCTTCCAACAGTGCCAACGTACGGTAAAATCTGACATTTGCCGCCACTACTATTTATTTCCAGGCACATAAAGTACTTTATTGTTTTTAAAAAGCGTGAACCCATTCATGTTTTAAGTGTAATCAGTCAAAAATGAAGAAATCAAATGAGCGAGAAAGCCGCAATTCACCGCTACTGTTTATTTTTATTATACTTACTTTTGTGATTTACAAGAAAAAAGATTAAATCTTTAAGATGTTTGTTAAACCAAACAACAGCCGGCGGAAAGGAGAAGGATAGCTGAAATTATCTCGTTATACACTAAAGCATGTCAACGTAGTTATAAAATTTCGGCCGCATACTACATATGTATGTATGTACATTTGAATGTTTATATTTATGTACATACATATATACTAATAAGAAGCTTAACCGCAAAGTCTCCTGGGCGAAAAGGTAAGCACCACGTAAAAAGAAGCAAAATTGCAAGCACGCGAAATTTTCGTTACCAAATCAGAAAGTTACTAAATACTTATTTACTTTGGTCTTTCAGTGGTTATTTATTGTCGGTCCCATCCGGTACTCAATGCTAAGGCTTTTGACACATGCAAAAGTCTATAGACATGTACATACATACTTATGTATATATTTACATGCGTACATAGTTATGCATATAGTACGTTTCTAGACATTTGCAGCAAGTAATTTATGTTTCTTCAAATGCGGTATTACGACGAATTTCCAAAAGCTCCGCTGGCCACTTTACTGTAGTAATGGATTAATGCATTCCCTGTCCTCGGGCATGAAACGAGAATATGGTTGTTTTAGTACGAATTAAATTTCAAGTTTT